ACATTAGGATGCCATTTAATAATACTACCTTGACTCGATGTCCTGTATAAGCTGTTCGTCTTCGCATGGGATGTGACACACCTGAAAAGCATAATATTACTGAGCACAGCTAAAAATTGATAGGAAAAAAATATTCTCTCACAGGCTCTACCTGATATGCATTCAGAATATCAAATACTCAGCAAAGCTGGGCGTCAGATGTGAATTACTCAGCATGATCACATATTTTTTTCTGTTTTGGCTTTATTGGTTACTTTGTTGTCTCCATCAGATGTTATTGAGTAAATGAATGAGACATTAAAAACCAGGACATCAGTATTAAGATAATCAATGGCTTTCTCTCGCAGTGCAAGGAATAACTTATATTACATTGGAAGACTCTGAGAAATTTGAAATATCACCTGTCCAAAAATGTACAATTTCATTTTTTTCAGGTATAACAGCTATTAAATCTGAAGACTGAAAGTTGGCTGCGTGTGAAATGTATCATTAGCAGTATTAACGGTTCTTAAATGGTTTGAAGATAATGACATCAGCCCTCTCTCTCCCTGTGCACTGAAGTTTGGTGATACTGGTCATGTGGGTGGCGTGTCTTTTCGATCCCCGCAGTCAGTGCCATGAAACCCTCCTGGACATCTGCCTGACAAGGCAGAGATTTGCACATGGGGCTCAGCTAACGCACCCCATTATGGCATGAGTGACTTTAAAAAGCAGACCCAGATGTCCTTTGATCCATCAGGTATTTTAGATGCAAATGAAATACGTTCCCTGAACAATGCATTAGAATCCCCCCTGGAGTGATTTATTTCACCCTGCAGCAGCACCGCTCAGAGGAAATGAACAGCAGCTGGAAACAGCTGTCTATAACAAATTGTTCTATTTGTCATCCTACAGCCCACAACTCACAACTTAAACCATTTACAGTCAGTTATGTTTATTGCCACATACAATATGGAATGTGCTATTTCACTTAGCTTTAATAACGATAATTCTCTGTGCCCCATTCAGATTGTCCACGATTCTGTATCTTGTGTGCTAATTAAACGTGTTCTGCATCAGCACATAACTCCTGTTCTCTGTAATGCACTGCTTCCCTATATTTATATTGCACCCCATATACATTTTGAAATGTATTAAGGTTCTCTGTCACAATCTACATGACCCATTCTGCTATAGCTTTCACTCTATAATGTCAATTAGCTTTGCTTTCCTTATTTGTCTTTTTGATTCTGCATATGTTATTGTGCAGCACTTTGTGTGTCTTCAAAAAACCCTTATAAATGTAGATACTAATGATCAATTGGAAAACTAGGTTCATCGCTTTTCCATTTCAGAATGTGTATTGATTTCAGTAATTGGCTAATAACTGATATTGTTAAATGCACTTTCAGAAAAAGCCTGATACAGACTTTCTCTGTGAACTTTAGGTATGCTAAATGCTTGTAAAGACTACAGTTTACTTGCATGAGACATGTAGTGACCCGAACCAAGCAAAGAGCTTATAGTAATGAGCCATTAAATTCACTGAATTTTTCTTCTCATAGGAAATTTTCTTCTGATCACCTCAACTTGATTCCTAATTGCAGTCATTTGTTGATTCCAAGGCTTTACTGTATGACATTCGTTTTTATTGTATTTCTTAATATACATAATTCATACACAGTGCATTCTGTTTGATAAACTTCAGAGCATCTGGAATCGTGTGAGTTTAAATGTTCCTTGCCCAGTCCCCATTGATGCAGCTGAACTGATGGGATTTGTTTGGTACTGTACATCAGCACAGGACCACTTGTGAGTGCACCCATTAAAACATTATTTACCACCCTCTCTAAGGAGGACACATTGCATCAAATTTCAGAAGTCTCTTGAATATTTTATAAAGTGCATCAAACTGATTACTATGAAACTTGCCCACCCTTCTGCGGCATGCTTTTTTTGTAGATATACTGGTGCGGATTTTTTAATGCAGCAATGGAAAATCAGGCCTGTTTTGGCAAAATCAAAAAAGACTGTGAAAGAAAATCTTTGTTTGAAGGAGAGAAAATTCACAGCCTGTATCAGTGTCCCTTACAAATGACTGACACTTGTTTCAAACATAAACACAGGGCATGTACTGTATGTTTCAAACCAGAGTGCTTTTTTGTGTCTAGGATATAATATATAATTTTACTTGCTCAAAATCAGTCGAAAAACTTGCTGTATACGCTTGATTGACACTTACCTAATGCACATTATATATCTGTATTGCAGGTTAGCCTTGATAAGGCACTTAGCTAAGTCATTATTATCATTATAATAATATCAAAAATAATAATGTAAAGTTTTGCAAAGAAGAGAGTTCAGAAGAAGAATAAAAAAGGTTCTCAACTTCCATCAAGGGGGGAAAATGCCTAAGAAAATACATGTACAATACCTAGAATTTTGGGGGGGTTATTTACAATTTGTGTTAAAATAGCAAGCACTTTATTACAGACTTTACCTAATGTTGAATAGATGTATAGTATAATGCAACATGACCCCATGAGTCCTGAATTCTCCCCATCTTTTGACTCTTTGTAGTTAAACCTGCTTCCCTTAACATTTGTGGAATGAAATTGCATCCTATTGTGAACTGGATATTTTTACTTTTCAATTTGGTTTAATGCAATCATACACCCATTAAAGTGGATTTTGTGAGTGGGGACAATGGGATTCAGCAGCATGGGGCTCTCTGTACACTTACAGCCCAGGACAGACACCATCTGTTGGCAATAATGGTTCATTAACAGCTGGCACAGGTGGCCGGCACACACCACAAACACTGAGCTCTCAGAGGGGGAGCTCCCTGGGGCTCCACAAGCCTCCGTCTTCAATACACTCAGCTGGGCCACAGTCTCCACACCCTGCCCACTTTCTCCCCATCTGGCTGGGACACATGAGCAATATTGGGATATACTGAGCTGTACTCAGATCATTGTATGCTAAAAACGCACAGTATCACAGAGTACCTAATTGTTTGCAAAGAACTTCAGATTAAATCTTTTATACATGCAAAGTCTCCACATACACCTGGCCCAAAGGGCATTAAAACCATGGCAGGTGTCTCCACTGAGCAACCTAGAAAAAAAAAACATTAATATATAAACGAGACTTCATCTTAAAAATGTATGTCTTTATCTTGTGTGTGTGTGTTATGGCTAAACAACACTACACATCTGACTACATGATTTCTGCAGCAGAGAAAAATTCCCAGACAGGAAATGCCCTGTCATTGGAACAGATGAATGCACTAGCAATCGTACATGGACACTCCCTCTGGCAACAGCACAGTGATTATGACAGGTTTTCAAACTCAACCCTGCCCCCTGTTGGGTAAATGAAAGAACCTCTTTTAAACATAATAGGCGTTCTGAAGAAATATCCTCACTGAGAGAGAAAGGGATGCACGGGACACATTAACTGGCATTAAATTGTTTTAAAAATAAAACACAATGCAAAATTGAGTGGCAGAGACAGTGTGATAAAGTAGTTTTATTTTGAAGACCATATCACACATTGGATACAATTATTTATTAATTTCATTGATACATGTCTGCACATGTGAAAATATGACCATATTGCCAGAGCTCACCAACCAGGTCACTTACTGTAGCTCCTTTTAGAAACTGATTGTGAGATTATTAACAAGTTACCTTGGATTGTTAGTTCATGTATTGTGTTCAACAAGTTACCTTAACGTCAGTCTAACTATAAAAAAGAAGGTTGACAGTATTTTCTAATTTGCGCGAAAGAGACAATTCATTACAGAGGTTCTCATTTTTTGCCCTCATCAGCTCAAGTGTGTTGCTCTTCATGAAGATGCAGCTCAAAAACACTTAGCTTTTTTGTGGTCTTGTGCAGATCTTTCCTAGCAACAGTATCCCGGTGATGCTGAAATGCCCTGTTGTTTGGGGTTTTCGCTCAAGGGCGACAGAAAATGTTCAGCCCCCCCTGAGTGAGCCCCATTTTCACAGACCTGAAGCACTGTTCTGCTGCAGTTGAATTGTTCCTCTGCTGTCAAAGCTGGGGACTCCAGTGGATGCCATTTCTGAATCTTAAAAACACTGCCCCAAGCATGCATATTTTATTTCCACTTAAAACACATTTCAGCTTTCGGATCTTTTGAATTATCTTGGAGCTACTTCTGTTTTTGCCTCACAATCTTTTTCTCACAGTAGGTGCTGCATTTTGTTCACCCTATAACATAGGGTTACTAAGTCTGTATGAGACACACAAAGCACATACTATGTACCTTAGTTCTTGCAACAGAAGCACAGCTCAGCAACACAGCATAACAAGAAACAGTTTAATATGGACACCAAATCTCCAAAGAGTTGGATTTCTCCCTGACAAACATAGAGTTGTAGTTCTCCCTGACAGACATAGAGTTGGATTTCTCCCTGACAAACTTCTCTGTATCATTGACTAGTTTCAGTTATGCAGCAGCTTCATACTGACGTTTTTGGTTATCAGCTTACTCATTTGTGGCTTATGTAGAGGGAGTGTTTGTTGTCCAGGCAGTTACAGTTTATTTTCAGGGTTATCTCAGCTAACGTTTTCTCCTCCTCGCATTGGTGGGTACAGGAGAGAAAAAAAAATCCTCTCAGGCTGTGACACACTGGCATTCTTTGGATTGCAGACACGTGAAAGCCCTTCAGCCTTGCCTTATTTAGTCAATAGCTGAGATTTTGGTCAGGAAGGGTAGGGCCAAGTTTACCTGTTGAAAGCTTTGTATTGTACAGCGTGATACCTTAGCAGATTCTTCATTAAAATTCAATTCATATCTTTATCATTATTGTAGTTTCCATGAAACTGAGTAACAGAATGGAACTGGTTCATGATGGCACTTATATACAGCATATACCTGCTGTGTTATCTGAACTAAAATTTCTGCAGTGAATCATTACTCCACCTCTACCTGCTGTTAGCAATCAGATTGCCTTTTTAGGGCATCATTGTCATGTATCTTCAGCATTCTTTTCTTTTTTTCTACAGGAGAGCCAGAAATGCCTGTGTTCCAGTGATTTCCTTATGCCCAGGATTGTGTTTGCTGTTTTGGCAGCTTTTGTATAGGCATTTCCTTTTGTCTGAGAATAACAGTGTAATTTGATCAATACACTAGGGTATGGTGTTGGTTTCAAAAGCATTTCTTTAGGGCACAAATGTCTGAAAACAAGAAATGTACAATATCTAGAAGTGTTCAGGGTTTATTTTGATGGTACTGTATGATTTGTGTTGAAATAACAACAAATTTACTATAGATTATACTTCACTGTGGCCCTGTTTTAATACACTCTGTTTTTATTAAATGAAACGGGGAGGATTTCAATGGACACATTCAAATATATATTCAAAGCATGTGGCATGCTGTGTTTTGCGTCAGACAGGCAAATTTTCGAAGACCTCTGAGCAACAAGTCTGCAATGAGTGGAAAGAGACCTCCTGAAAACCTTATCCACACTGTGATTACATTTCACTTCCCACAGGTTACTCTCTGAACAATTAAGAAATAAAATTATCTAAGTGTGGGAAAATGAGTAGAATTATAGTTACATATATCAGTTAAGGATAATTCTGACCCTCGTCATTATTGCTTCACTTCACCCTAGAATGGTTGAAACAAATTGAAAAACATGTAACAAATGATTTATATTCTACGATGATCAGATAGGCTTCAATGAATCAATCCAAAATGAAAATGGATTTCATTTTGCTTTAAATTCTGACGGGCCAGGCGACATCAATACAGTGTTATAATGAGTGTGGGAGTTTGATTTGGGAGTAGCTAGTGAGGAAAGTAGAATAATCCCAGAAGCTCAGCGGTTGGAAGCTTCGCTGTGATCTAGACATGCCTGTTCAGCATCTGCTGTGGGAGTCCTCCCCAGCTCTGCAGAAACAGCGCCGCAGAACCTCCCCAGCTTTCCATGAAGGCCTCTTGCTGACCTTGTGAGGCATCTTTCCCTGTAGCGTCGATGGGAGAAAGAAAATAAATTACCGCTGAAAGAGCTGGGGGTCCAGCGAGGATGATCCCTGAGAATGGGAGCTGCGCAGGAAGCTGGGAGGGCCCGGAAAGAGGGGGCTTTGCATATCAAGTGGTAGAATTCATTACCTCGAGAAGTGATTCAGTGACCATTAAACCAGCTTTCATTCATGCCCACACTTGCTGTTGTACACACTGCAGTTCCTGTTGCTTCAGCACTCGCTGGCAGCTGTGATCATTGCACACACAAATGCACAGTACCTTACGACTGAATAACAGCCCTGCTTTCTTTTTCTGCAGCTTCAGGCAATGCAAAAACTGGGGCAGGGTTTTAGACGAGGGAAGGGTGCAGCCGCTCGACAGTTGGAGAGCGCTGTCAACTCCACTGATTTCACAAAGCAGCTTCGCCCAGTTCTTACCATTATTTTGTGTTGTGTTTCTGTGTTAAGAATATATTTCGAATTATTTGTGTGATGTAAGAGCTACACAAACACTGCTGCGTGTAGCACGCTTGCTTCTGGCCTTCAAAGCACGGCACCAGAGCGTGTTTTTAATCAGGGTAAAAATAGCAGCTTTGATGGGTACTAGAAAAGAGGAAGTCTTGCTCTGTGCGGAAATCTCCACACTGGAGAGCAGTTTTAAAGTGACAGACAGGTAATGTGGCCAAAGCGAGCGGCACTTCAGTCTGTGTAATAATGTTCACATTTCTCGTTACCTCCAAGCTTTCCTGAAATCCTCTTCAGGAGCCATAATCTGAGAATTCTCTGGATCAATTGAAATTTATGTTGCTATTTCAGTGCACATAAAAGGGAGTAGCTTACATCTTTATCGGTGTCAGAGTGTAAAATAGATAAAAGCTATAATGTTCCCTAAAAGGCATCCATGTTTGTGCTGAATCAACTGCATTAGTTACTGACTTTCACACTGAGCTCAGTATGTGCTTGACTTCTCTACAGATTTGAAGTCCTTAGTGTTACAGAGAAAAAAAAACTGCTTCTTCAAAATCATCTTTAAAATTAAATTAGAACAGAACGGATAAAAAATTGAATTTTCCAAACACCGTACTGTTGCTTTTCACATAGGTTACAACCTGAGTTCTCTGATAATGACCATAAATCAGTCATAACGACTTTTTTTTTAAAGCCAAAGAAGCATCACCATAAAAAGGAGATCTATCATCCTGTGTGTACTCATGATAGTTTTTTCCCTTCATCGCATTGATGTGTCAGAACAATTAAGATTCCTGTGAAACACAAACATGCACAGACAAGTCTCTCACTCTTCTGCCTTTGAACAAAAACGGCCCAGTATGGACATTGAAGTGGTACAGATCTTTACTTAATATTTTCTCACGATGTGGAGCTCAGGAATTGAATAGTAGAGGGCCTCTCTCAGGCTGACAGCACATACATTAGCACTGTCTGAGTACAGAACAGTTCAGTGAATGGAATTCTGCTAGAAAGCAGGCATCTAAGAATGCAAAGAAAGACCCTTTTAAATTGAAGGTGAGCTGCAGAGCCGTACTTCGTGAGGTATCGTTAGTGCTGTCAAACACAAATTGTCAGCCTGCTCTCCTGCATAGATTTCACATCACAATGCCTCTTCTTATAGCAAACCGGATTCTAAAAACCACTAGCTATTGAGGACCAGCAGACACAGGAACTGTATGTTTCTTCCCAGCCCAGCTATCCCGGAGGAACAACTTGCTTAGAAAGAATTAAGCGTTAAAAATTAACACTGTATAAAAAGAACTCAAAACGGTTAATAAACCCGTAAATAGCACTGACAGTAAATGCTTTGTCACAATACTCACAGAGCTTATGAAAAAATTACGCCCCTAAAATGAGAGGAAACCAGATGCTGACTGCGCACTGAGTGGACTGCAGGCTTTGATGACTAAGTTTGGCAATCACTACCTGCTAGTTTTTCCCATATATGGAGCTTTTGAGAAAAGAAAGCCTCATTGAGAATGAGGCAGGGCTCCACCCTACAGACCTTGCTCTAATGATTGTTTGCAGTCTAAACAGCGCAAGGAGGAGAGGGCACCCCAGGACTGATAGTGCAGGAGTGTGCGCATGTGTGTGCGTGTGGTGAGGCAGTCAGGGAGTTGGACAGGAATGCTAAAGAATTCCATGTGTGTGAGAGAGTGACTCCGTGCTGGTGTGGACAGGAGGGAGAGAGAGCTGCCCACAGTCGCGATGACACAGGGCACAACAAGATGGACGCAAAGCTGTAAAAAGTCAGAACGAGTGGATGTGACAAAGAGCCACTCGTCACCAGCGTTTCAGCCAAGACCTGCTATTTAAGGCAATGTCTGTGCCCTAGTTTAAAACTGCTTCCTCGTTTCTGTTTTTTTGTGCTGTTTCAGTGCCCTGTAGCTTATACCTGGGGCACATACATGCACTGAAAGCATCTGATTAAGTTTCCATGCCTTGTATGAAGAAATATAATAAGGGACTAGGCCCTGATCGCAGTACACTAACAGGAAAAAAGTAAGAGTTTTCTTTTGTGTATATGTATACATATTTTGCACCATGTAACATTTTCACATGTAAAATACTGTATTTTGGCTTGCTGACGAATAAACTGCACATCCATGACAGCCTGCATAGATATGAAAGCACGTAATGCATAAATAAATAAGAGGCATGCATACAGATAAATAACTAAAGCAGTTAAAATATGATATGACAGAAAGAGTACAGAAGCTAACAACAGCTTGAGTACCATATATCTTAAACACCTATTTATAAAGTATAATATTGTGTATTAAAATCACATTTTGTCAGTGTTTCGTCCAAATTCTCTAAAGAGTAATTATCCTTACAAGTGATCACTCACTAAGACATGCCCATCGGCTAACTAATTTAAGATAAAAGCGAGAAAAATATTAAGATCACCTACTTTGTTCGAACATCTATGTGCTGGAACTGTAATGGCCAGCCCACTCAAATACACACGCATACATCAGGGCTTTTAAAAAAAAAAATCTTTCCTGCAGAAAGCTCTATCGTGCACAGAGAGGGAGGCTTTGCGAAGCAGAAAAAAAAAAGAAAAGGAAATTAACTTGAAGGAGCAAATAAGCTGAAATAGTTTAAACGTTCCTGTTTAGCAAAACAGAAGTGAAAATCTTCTTTGCAGCAAATTCCCCCTGCTTTTTGCATATAACCATTTCATTCATTTGGCCCAGTGGTTTCAATCTGATTTCCTTGTGAAAGTCCCATGTGACAGAGGCCTTGCATTCTTAACATTGTTACCATGTGACACACTTAAAGATTGCCTTTTATGGTGGTTACTCTTACATCTCCTAGAGGGCGAGGCTTCTCTCATCTAGGGAAATAAATACGAAGCTATGGAAATGACTATAAAACAGAAACAAGCATCCAATAATTCAAATTTTTGGATTTATTTCTGGGGTGAAACATGACTCTTGCAGATTAAAAGGCAAAGTACTATCTCAAACCGATTTGTTTGTTTGATTCACAGAAAAGCTACAGACTCTAAAAAAGCATTTCCTGCTGTTTCCACTCTGATTTGTGCTATAAGAGATACCACTAGCTTTCCCAGCCTAGCCCTCTTTCGTATTTTATCTGACAGTCGTAATGCATAACCCTGGAATAGACGCATTAGTCAAGAATAAAATACTGGGTGCTTATTCTGTATACATTAGGCATAATACTTTTACACTAAGTGCAATATGTTGCTATTTGTTTGCGTTTGTCTTGTAAGTTAAGGCAAAGTATTCAACTGTTGTTGCATAATCAGTTTGGCATTCCAGCAGCAGGTAAAGACCAGCACATCACACAAGGACAGATCGGAACTGATCTGCAGGCTGAAACTCGTCCATGTCTCGGAGTCTTTTTCACTGACATAGAGCAGCCAAGGACTCACAGCTGGCCAGCGCCCTTTCATCGGCTCTCCCTTGAAGTGCATGGAAATCCTGGGGACCTGCTTGAGCTCAGATGCCTGAATGTGGTACGATCAAAGATGTGATGAGTTGTGGCCACCCTGGAGTGATAAAGCCCAAAGCACACTCCACTCTGAGGACTGAGGGCTTGTCACCTTTGTGAACCCCACTTTAGAGGGGCTGAGAGATGTGACACAGTGGTCATGACAAAGCTGAGTTGTTCACCATTAGAGCAGATAGCAATGGCCTGCATGGGTTCTTATACCACACTACATTGCTGACCTAAACACACACTGGCATCCATTAAGAAGCCCCTTGCATACTTGTAGAGGCAATCAGTGACAGATTGTGTGCTGGATTTGTGGTGTGGACTAATACGCACTGGATCTATCCTGAGGCCACCAAACCCATTTGACCTCTGACCCGAACTGCCTTCACACTGAAGCTCCCAGAATCAAAAAACTGGCAAATCCACTTGATTTACTACTTGTCAGTCAGGACACCAGCCAGTTGTCTGCAATGAGAAAACAAAATTCCAGAGGCCCTCAGAAGATCCAAATAGAGATACTGTGCTTGCACAAGGGAATATTTTAATTCTGAGTTCCAGAATTAATTGCATTATTCCGCAGAAGGTGAGAACGTTTACTGCCAAATTAAACCATACATTTGAGAGATTTCGGGCTGTGGCAGGAAACTGACTGTAATACACAATCACCATGAAGTTTGGAGAAGTTGCGATTTAAAGGAAGTTCTCACCCATAAAAGTATAAAGAAATCTTGTGTCACCCCGCCCACCTCGTTCTTACATGACAACCAGACCTTTTATGCTTTTCGTTTTGTTTTAAGTAAACCTTACAACAAGCAGATTTAAATACAATAAAATATGCGTAGGTCAAGCTGAAACCATTGTCTAGACAATTTCAGCAGAGAGAGAATAATTGTGTACAATATACGATAGATTGCAAATGAGAGGAGGCCATTTGGCCCCTTTTGGCTCATTTGGTTGCTAACAGATAATTATTTCATGAACAAGAGTCCCATAGCTCTTTGGATAAAGAAATACCTCCTGTTCTCCATTTTAAACGCACTTCCCCCTATTTTCCATATCTGGGTTGTAATTCACGTTGATTTCAAAGAGCTAGGTTGGGTCAGCATGGTCCGGGCCTTCTGAGGAGTTTGAATACTAAGGCTCTAGATCAAAATGAAGCAGATTCGGTTTTTAGCCTGTCAGAACAGGACATTCCTTTAAGCGTTAACAAGAAAGCACTTTTGACATTAGCCTTGTTCATCATGAAGATTAACTAACCTACCACTGAAATGCTTTGTCTCTCATTGAAATTCTGCATATACAGTTTATGCAATATCTGAGTGTGCGTGACCAATATTCTTGTCAGAAGAAGCGAGACGATCAATACATACAGCAGAACTGCACCTTCCTATTTTGGCTCAGGCTTTCTCCAGGGCTAAAATATCTGTATGCAACTTCCTGTGTTGACTCGGCTTAGAAATGTCAGACCTAAGAAATGCAGTTCCTGTTAGAAAGCCTGTGTCTCACTGAAAATGCCCTTATTTGGCTGCTGGGATAGAGTTTTTGTTTGTGGCAAGTTCTCTCACTGTTAAATATGTGTCAATGCTGATTTCACTATTAAGGGAGAAGTAACTGGGAAGCAGTTTGCTTTAGGTTAATTGGAATGTTGTTACCTTCCAGCTTAAACATGTTATAAAAAGCCAGAAATCACCTTCATTTTCCACTTTTCTTTTATTCTTTTTTTACTTTCTTCCCAAATATTGATCCTTTAATTCATTAAAAGGGGTGTGATACTCAGTATGAACAAATATCTCCCTCATTTACAATTTGTCTTATGCGGAAAGCTAACTTAAACTTCAATGATTTCCCTCTTACTAGTCAATGTTTTATTCTGTACCAGCTTAAGATCAGTAATGAAGTCCAGTTAAAACACAATGATAAATATTAGAAAATGTTGCTATTATTGCTAAAAATATGACCATGTATGTTATACTGTGGTTTTAGCTGTTCAGGAGCGAATCTGGTTTTATTTGGACTTTAATTACATGCTGTTTTGCTCTAGAATCTCTCATTACTGGATGCTATCTACAGTAATAGATAGCATGTGCTCAATGGAATTATATGAAGGCCCTTCTTAATGACAATGTAATGTAAGTGCTGCCTTGTGATTAGAAATCAAGTAAGGCATGCATGAAGATGGGGCAAGACTGGCTCTGTACACACAAACACAACTGTATTACAAATATTGACAATAAAACCTATCCCTTAATTTTAATGACTCATCTCTATGACATCACAGCTGAGTCACACATGTACTGTGTCTAACAAAGGGACACACCTCTGGGAGATGTATGAAATTGACTACAGTTGTACAGTTTTGGGGTTAGCATGCAGGACTTATGCAACTTAGCTAGACTGATTGGTAGTAAGGTTGCAACCTCATCAAAATACAGGAAAGGTAAACTGGTCTGGGATATAGGAATTGGGCATAGGCCTTTTGTATTCACACCAGCTAGGGCAGAATTGCTGAGTCTGACTAACTCCTCTTCCACTGTTTTTTTTCTCGGTGTAATTAAATAAGGACAGAGCCGAGTTTTTAAAAGCCCTCCGATGGAGCACATAGGCTGAGCTGCATGTTAAATAAGCTAACCCCGAAACTAAGGCGTGCTCTTTAGAGAGAAATCATGGGGCAGCCTAGACAGCAGAGCTGAAAGGAAGAAACAGGACTTCTACAGCCAAAATGCCATTTACCCAGCGACTGGAAATAAAAAATAACATTATTTGCATTGTTTACAACCACAGTGTCAAATCGATATTTCAAAGGGGGACTGACAATGGAACAAACTTGAGTCATGGGAGAGACTGGAAAGTGAGAAACTCCTAAAAGGGTTAAAGTCTGAAAAGGCATTTCTGAACTTTGTACAGTAGCTGTTTTATACAGCATCCTGGCTATGGTTATACTCTGCCTGTGGGCCATACACTTTCTGTTAATTCTTCTCCAAGTTGTAGAAAAATAATATCGCTATATTGAAGACTGTTCTGCTCTGTATTCACTGTGAACATAGATTAATTTTAAAACATTACATGATCTTCTTATCCAAATATCCCATATTATGTCAATGTAAACAAAGATCTATAGAAGAAGAACTGACTGTAGTGGATTCAAAATTTTTGAAATTCCTTCTTCATACACTGTTTTGATACCAAGTTAAATTTGATCCCAAAGCACTTCTTGATCCCTTCTACAGTCTGTGTTTCCAGAAATGATGATAATTCCTGTCTCTGCAAAGCTGATTTTATCTTATATGGTCTTCCTTCTTAAGGTATCCTAGACAGTGACGGTAAATACTGTTGAGGAAATGCTTTATACAGTAAGTGTGAAAAAGACAATCCATTTTCTGTAAATCATAGTTTCAATCTTGCTTGAAAAAAAAAATCATTAGATGAAATACGATTTGAAAACAAGTCCAGTTCGCTTTGGATTCTGCTCCCTGGCTGCTCTATTACAGAAAGCTGAGACAGAGTTTATGTCACCCGTCAGCCACTGATCTCAATAGATCCCCTCATGATTGATGATGGAATACACTTCCCAGGCTGTGCTTTGGCTGTATTTTATGAAGCAGGACCATGTCAGACCTCTGGTGTTGAAAACAGCACACTAAACTGAACTAAAATGTTTGGCACATGGACTGTCATAAGATACTGGGAAATGATGGTGTTGACAGCAATTGCTCAGAGCACATTTAAAAGCAAACATCCAAATATGGCAGAGGGGATGTTTAACAGCAAGTGTGTTAGACTCTAAAGAGGAAGTAGAGTCTACAGCAGTAAAACTGTGACAAAGAGAGGCTAGGGGCCAGGTCACGTGTGTTGTGCCAAGAGTGCAAACGAGGAACAGCAGCTTTGTCAAAACACAGAGTCCCGGAGCTTTTCAGATCTTTTCGTCCTGTTTTTAGGGCTTTGAAATGATAAGTGATTATGTTGATGAAACCAATTTTGAGTCACAGCTTCAACTCTTCTGTGCTGTGGACTGTACACGAGACTTCCACTATGCTGCCAGAGAGCATATCTGGATTCCGTAGTCTCTTCACAGGGGAAATTAAACCTGCCCAGCTGGAGCCTGCAAACTCTGGAGATTACAAGTTCATGTTAAAAAAGCAAACAAAAAGGGGTTGTTTTTTTTAAAAAGGGGGATCTCTAATACTTTGTGCTGGTTTCCTCTTGCTACCAAGATGAGGCAGGATCTACTTTAGCTGACCGTTTTTCAAACACCAATGTGTTTTCACCTC